AAATGTTTTGAGAATGATGACAGCAATGAATGTACAAATGTGCTTTACCCAATTGATGTATGTATGGATTGTGATAAGAGTTATATGAACCCCTAATAAAACGATTAAAAAAAAACAAAACCCACTGCCACACAGTACATTCCAACTCAGAGCAACCCTCCACAGGATTTTCAAAGTTGCTAAATCTTTCCCAGAGCAGATAGCCTGGCAGCATGGCAGAATGAACTTGGATGAAGGAGGGCTTACATCCCAACCCCCCACAACCTCTTACTGAAATTCAGTGTTTGATCCAATTAAGAGTACAGATGTCAGTAATACCCGTGACTGTCACCAATGTAGAGTACTGATTATTCTAATAATATTCTTGATACTGCTAGCACTCTAGGCCACTGAGTAACAAGCTGAGCTACTGCAGTCATGGAAAACATACTTGCTTAGGTTTTCTAGGAAATATATGAATGTTAATAAGATTTTTAGGCTGAAGGGGCTCAGCACAATAAATGAAAATAAGAGAGTCACAACCACAATGGCTCCAGATTTCATAACAGTAATTCTGGAGACCAGAAGACAACAGAGTAATTTGAATGTTTCTAAAATTGAAGGGAAATGATTTCAAAACTAGAATTATATCTGAGGGGGAAAAATTAACTTTCAGATATGCAAGATTTAGAAAAGTTCACATCTCCTGTACACATTTTGTCCAAGCAGTCTCCCATGAATATGAGAAAGGACCGACGGATGAGAAAGACACAGGCGACACCACGAGGAAACCCCGGCAAAGGAGCCCCGGGATGGTGGTGACAGGAGATCCTGTGACAGGGGGGTTTCAGTATCTTAACAAGAAAATCTAATAACCGATTAAAAGTTAGGTGTTACACATCAGAAACATGTATATACAGCAAAATAATCACTCACAACATGGCTCACAGTCACAATATGAAATGCCCACTTCAGCTAAATGTGATTGTGATTGATTTATTCATCATGAAATGTATATTAGGGTGGAGGGGCTACCACACCATCCACGAACACTGAATTGCTCCTGACTCACGGAGACCCTACAGGACAGAGCAGAACTGTATCACAGGGTTTTGGACTTTCAGTCTTTATGGCAAGAGAGTGTCTCATTTTTCTCCTGCAGAGCACACCAGCCCTGTGGTTGGCAGCCCAATGCCTAACCCACTGTGCCACCAGGGCTCCTTAGCAGAGATAAGGTGGGGGTACACATGAGTTACTGAAGGTATGAGATCTAAATCTATGAAATTCAACTAAAGTTAGAAGTAGAGACAATAGAGGATTACTATTTAGAAACCCCACCCCTCACAACCAATTCTAAACTTAAATTTTTCTGACTCGAGTCAGCAAACTGTGGCCCTTGAGGCAGTTCTGACCAGCTACTTGTATTTTATAGCAAGAGTTCAGTTTACAAGCTTGTTCATTTACAGACTGTCTGTGGTTGCTCACAGACTAAAACGGCGTAAGAGAAACCTGTGCTAGCGACTTCAAGAGCAAAGCCTAACATTTTTACTCTCTGGCCCTTTATAGAACTAAGTAATGCTGTATTTTGTACAAACAGAATCTTGAGGAACAAGAACTGAAAACAAAACAAAAAAAACCCCAAATAAATAAGGAAGAAAACAATTCACATGCTCATCAACAAAACAAAACTCATTGCCACAGCATCAAATCTGACTCATAGCGAAAGCTGAGGACAGAGTAATTGCCATCCTGGGTCTTCGTGGCTGTACATCTTAAAGGAAGCAGAAAGTCCCATCTTTCTTCAGAGGAGTAGCTGGTGGGTCCAAACTGCCGACCATGCAGTTATCAACCCAACACAGAACTCACAAGTCACCAGGACGCCTGTACGCATGCTAACAGTTAAATTTAATTTAAAACAAAACACTCTTCTGACAGACTTTTGTTGCCATACCAAGGTACTAAGTGTGCTAAATATCTTTTCATTTGGGCTTACAAGAAACAAATCTGTACTCATTGCAAAAGAAAAAGTGTTTTTATTCTAAAGACTATCTCAGATCATTTCTATTTTAAAATGTCGGTGACAACAAAAACAACTTGGCCAGTGTCATGTAACACTGCAGAAGCAGCTGCCTGTCTTTAGCTGCTGCTCTCAGTATATTCTCCCTTGCAACTATTAAAAATTGGCTTGAAAGTCAGTCCCCAGTATATGAACATCTATATTAGTAAAGGAGTCAAACTGTTCTCACATATGAGTCAATCTCAGACGCTTTAGAGAAGAAATTCTGGGAATCCTAAACAGGGTTTGGCGAAAATGACTCACACACATTTGTCTAAAAACAAACTGACTTCTTCCGAGTCCAAGCCCCTGTCATGTCCAGGACAACCGGCTGAAAACTTGGATAAACTAGGCGTGTCTCCTTCCCAAGTTAGTTACATCTTTTTAATGATATTATAAAAAGTTTTAAAAGAATAGCAGTGATACTTGGATGTCTAAAGTTCATTCCAGGTAAATTTTTTGTACGGAATCGCCGCATTTTTTAACAAACTTTCTATGCCTGAGGAGATATCCCAAAGTAACCATAAATTACAGCCCAGTAAATTCTGTTAAAATTATTTAGATAAAAAGGCGCTAAAGTAAGATTTTTCAATTCTAGAATTATATATTAAGCTAATGAATGAAGACGTTATTATTTACTATATAAAGGTAAGTAAAAAAGTATTACGACAAAGTCAGATATCTTTATTAAATAAACATATCAGCATGTAAAACTACGGTTTCGTGATATCTCCTCCCATATGTTTATACACTTCTGAAGATGGGTTTTCTACCTTTTGAACCCTTCTTTGAAGAATTATGCACATCTCAATTATACTATCTCAAAATGGAAGTTTGGGTGTCCTCATGGGACTCAATTCATGCTCCTTTTTTGACAACAAAA